TCCTGGGCTAATAATTCTTTCCACGTAAAATAGACTATATAATGATTCTCTATATGATTATAAGCTATCTTCACTCTTTTTGTCAATTGAACTATCCACCAATGTCAAAAGACGTAAAGTATTAGGCATTTGTACATAACCTTTCATCCCAACATTGCCTTCACAAACGTTCGTTGCATAGTGCTCTCGTGAACTTTCATCATCAGTTATAGTCTGATCAAAATTTATCGTCAACCGCCATCTATTTACGTCATAAACGCCAGGCCTAACAAAGCATGCTTTGAAAATATATGTCTGTTCTTCGTTCACTGATAATATGGAACATTTAGAAGTAGGTCCGGTCCATTGAAACACTGTTGGGTATACAGACTTGTGTAGTGTACTATACGGGATTAATAGATTAAACGAGGTTCATAAACTAATGTGTAATTAATTAGAATCAGCCATTAATTTATTTACCTCCTACTGGTTTCATTCCGATCAGACGATAACATCTCCAATGTATACCCGATTTTCCTATTCCATGAACAATTTTTGACTGATATTTTGATAGGAACAATACAAAAGCTAAAAATATAATATATATATATATATTGAGTGATTTAATGACTAATTGAATTTTTTACTCAAGAAAAAACATGATAATGCTAACCTTCGATTCCGAAAATCATGTTCATACACGTCTGCACATTGTATAATGAGTTTTAATGGATTTTCATCTTTGAAATTTTTGTTTTTCAGTAAGCTATTAACTAATGTATTTCGCTCCCGAACTGTCTGTTCAAACAATGCTCTACCCTGAATTGCTGCTATATTCTGTGATCGAAACGGATTTTGTTGAACTCCAAGATTAATCCCAATAATATAATGATGTCCTTGACGTGACAAAGTTGGTATGCTCCAATAAAGTGAAAGGTCTACATCATTTGTATTGTATAATGGGAAAAGTGTACGGTGTTTGGATGCTGGAATAACAGGGAAATTATTAATTAAAGTATTGGTTCGCCATTGAACGCGTGAATTCAATGAAAATCCTTCAAGCGGGTTCGTGGAATTTGTTATAGTACTATCTGTCTAAATAAAGTACAATCCAATGTAAATTTTGAATGTATAATAGATTTTCAACACTAGTAATTTTAACTTACAAAAGGAACATTCGTTACAATAAGATCAATAGGTGATGGTTCCGACTTCAGATCTTTTTGTCCGCTTAATAATAGTTCTAAAGCCTTAGATGAGAACACCTCTGGTGTGATCATTGAGCTTTGTGAATCAACATTGTCATGAGTTACCGGTTTAGAGTGCTTTTCATCTTTTTTAATTCGATAATAAGTGAACACCGTCTGGCGTGGGGCTATTAAAAATTTCTGGCTAGCGTCCCTACAATATCATACATGTTTAAATTTATTTGCATTTAAATTTTTCAACCCAGTTTTTAATTAAAGGCAAGCACAAGTTTATTAATCAGCATACTCGAGGCTTTCATTCACAAGTGATATTGTCCATGATGGACTAATCGAAGACAGCTGGGCTAATTGAAATTGATATTCACTAGTAGTTTGTAAATTTTCAATCTGTAAGCGATATATAAAATAAAAATAAAAGAGTAAAGATGAATTAATAATAATCAAATTAACAGCAAATAAGGCTAGCCTACCTCAATCCCCAAAATGAATTCATTTAATCCTCGGATACTTGGTCGAGTGAATGCATTTATTTTGAGAGAAGGATATACTTGCGTTGCTTTAAGATAACGGAGACTTCTATATCTCATAGCTGAATTGTTATTCTAAACAATAAATAGATATCATAATGCTTATTAAGTGACGAAAATTTTGGACATTGCTAGTAAAATTTAAAGAAAAGTGTACCTCAGATTCATAAGTAAACAAAAACCTAAACGAATGTTTTCCTATACGATCTCCTCTAATCCAAATTGGAATTAAGGTTGTTTTACCGGGAGCGAGAGAACAAATATTGTTAACCTCTTGAGGTGGTAACGGTATGGCTTTTATGCTAGATTTGAATATAGAGTTGTTTGTTGTCCATATTTCAGTATTTAATTTCGAATTTCTAGTGGAAGAGTCTGAAATGTCATTATCCATGAATTAGTATTCGTTGATATTTTTATTTTTTATTTAAAATCTTAACCCCAAAAATTAACAAACTTACAATATACTTTTTGATCTAACATCTCCGCATCACCGATGCAAAAAAAACTAGGATGACTCATTTTCACACGTAAGTCCGTAAGTCCCTTCTGCCCTTTATTGTTGATTTCCAAAAGA